TATTTGCTTCTTAAGAGCCTTAGAAAATGCTTGATAGTTTAAGACTTCCTTCCATGACAATTAATTATATGTAAAATGTTAGAATTTTGCTGGATGTCAACCCAGGTAGGAAGAGCTTCTCGAGAGGAAGCAGGTTTTGCTGCAGGGACTCATGTTTGGAAATGTGGTTCTCCTGGTTATTTTCTGTCCTTGTGTGGAGAAAAATCAAACCCATGATGTGCACAGCACACGTCAGTTAGAAAGAAATCAGGTCCTGTGGTACAGAAATCAGGTGCTGTGTTGGCACAGAAATCAGGTGCTGTGTTGTCTCTCAAGGCAGTTTAAATACAGCTCGCACTGAAATTGCTGCAAGAAGCTTCCTGCTAAAAATACATCTACATCCTTTCATTTAAAGTGCATTCACTTCAGCAGTCAGTCGGTTTGGATTGTGGAGATTCCTGGCACATTCCTGAGGGAAAGGCGCTAATGGGTTTGGTGATGTTGATGGAACACGGATTTTCTGCCTACTGTAGTTTTGTCTCTTGATAGTGATTTTTTATTTGTTAAAGCAAATGTTCCTCTAATGCCTTCATGTTCATACCTGGAGCCACTGACTGTGCTTCTTTCTAGAGAAGAACACTCATTTTGTTACTGTGAATCATATTTTGCTATTGAAAATTCTATGGCTAATTTTTTTTCTTTTTTTAAACTGGAAACATGGATTTCAGTTCCATTACAGGGTGCCTGTTACTCAGCTATACCTTGCCAGCCTTTTTCCTCACACTGAGGAGACACCCACAGCTGTAATCGTGGTTGTGCTCTTGCTTAAATTATTTCTTTGCAGTCTCTGCTGTTTTGAAGACCAGTGTGGTCGCTTTGCCTGCATGTAATTCCACAATGTATCGTCAGCGTCAGCGTAGTCATACAGTTTTGCAGATTTCCTAGAGCTGATGTGCATTAGCTACAGTTCATTATCCAAAGTAAACAGCTCGTTAGCGTTCAGTGGAGAGCTTCTAAAGAAGACAAAGATCCACCCAAAATGGAGTGAGTAAACCCCTTACTCTGCTTTACTGAGATGCTGCGAGTGTCGCCTGCCTGTGTTCCCTCCTCCTGCTCTCCTTGTGGGAGGATGCACTTGTTCTCCAGGCTCCTTTCACTGAGGTCGCTATCTGGAAATGGCTCCTGCTGACCGCGTGGCGATGGTTTCCCGATCCTCACCAGCTCCTGTGGGGCAGTAACGAGTGAGTGATGGGCTGCTGGCAGCAGTGAACTTCACTTTCCTTCAGTGGTTTCAGTCTTAATTTAATTTCCTCAGGCAGCGCTTTATGCCTGCAGGAAGGAGACTCAGCACTGTTAACTTTGGCTGTTTCTCCTCCAGCTCTGGTGACACATGGTGCCTTCCCTACACTGCAGCAGGCAGGTGAGTGCCCCATGTCCCAGGGACACAGGAGGGAACCCGATTTCCACGGCCACTTGGCCCCTCTATTGGCACACAGCTGCAGGAGGGTCAGCAGCAGCACTGCTCAGCCCTGCATGCTTTGTAGGCCAGTGTGTTCCCTTTTCTCTGCCCAGGGGGGCTCATGCAAGGCCAGAGGGCAAAGCACCTGAGCTGCTCCAGCCCAGCAACTCAAAACCCACCCACCAGAGATGATTCAAGGTTTGGGGGGTTTTTAAGGCCTCCTGTACAAGAGCTTTTTTAACACGTGATCCTTAAATTTGATGTTGCCCCGAGTGTAAGTTTGAAGTGTGAGATTCACACTCCTGACAAAGGAAAGGGGCAATGGAACTTGGCATTTATGAGGAAAGCCAGGTATCTTAAGTGTACATTGACAAATAAGGACTAAAATACAATGATTTATTGCCAAACCTATTTGGCAGCCTCCTTCCAGTTTAGGCTTATTGGTCATCAGATACTTGTACATATTAGCATAAGATGAAATAACATATGATTGGCTTTGACATCTCTTAATCAGCTGATTGCAGGATTTCTCTGGTTTGTTTTTTTTTTTGTGGAAGGCACAGTTCTGTGCACGGGCTCTGCTTGGAGCTGCTGCAAACATCCCTGTGGAGCTATTCCAAGAGGAGCAGCGACTGTTCCCATCTGACAGCAACATCCCATTGTCTTCCTGGGGCATGTCTTGAGACGTCAGCAGCAGCAGCAGCTCATCTTTTCCCTTTGCAGGGGCTGGTTTGTTTGCAGGTGATGGCCCTGCTCCCTGGGGCTCCATTATCAGCTGCTGCAATTACCTGATTCCCTGGCAGCCCCTCCTGTCCCTGGAGCTCTGCAACAGTGCACCGGGTCTACTGAAGTTTCAAACACTCTGTGATTCACTCCTCCAGAGAAACACGATCACCTCAGGATTTTCTGATCCAGACAAGTGCAGACACCTGGAGAAGATCATGTACCAAGCCTCTGGGAGTGACGCTCCCCAAAGTTCCCACTTCCCTCTGCCAGCACGGCTCCTCCGAGGTTCTGTGCCCTGGCAAGTGTGGGTAAACACCAGGATTGTTCCTGCTGGATGATCTCAAAGCCCTCCCAACTGTCTGCTGAAAACACTTGCCCATTGCAAGGAAATGACTGTTTGTTTGTGTTAGGAGTCAGGAATGGGAAATGACGTGAACACTTAACTGTTTTTCCTGGTGTTTCTAAGAGGTATATTCAGCGTCTCGGGTCTTCTTTCCAAAGGAGTTCAGTGTTATCTGAAACTCTAGTACATGCACATACTTAGAGGTATGTGCACGCACATAAATATACATAAAATCAGGAAATATCTTCAAAATCTTGTGTATCCACCTGGTAACATTTTACTGGTGCCCGGCTATGACTATGCTGTAACATAACTTGGTATGTTCTCCCTCAGTGCTGAACTGACACAGTCCCCAGGTCTTGTTTTCATAACTGGGATAAATCTGTGATTCTGCAGTGTGCTGCAATCTCCCTGAAGGGGAAAGAAGTCAGAATTCACACTTGTCATCCTTATTTCACCCAAGCACCAGTTTTGTCTACATCTATTGAGTTACTCTGCATATGTAATTTTTTTTTCCTGTGTATTGCTCCTTCATTGCCTTGACAAAGAAGTGGTCCAATGTTTTTAGTCTTTTTGGTTGACAATAACTTTTTGTTCCTGATTTCTTTGGTCAAGGTTAAACCAACAATTTCTCTTTAGATTCCTTGAAAACTGCTGGCACCTGTGTGCTGTGACCTCCCCTGCCCGTGCACACACTGTCCTGCAGGACTGAGGCAGCTGCTGGTGTCAGACCTGGGTACAGTCACTCAGTGCCTCTGGGTTCCTACAGGTGAGATTGTCACTTCTGCATTTCTGCACCTGCCTGGCAAAACATGATCCCTGTCCATGACCAGAATGCCAGGAAAAAGGGTTTGTGTTGGGCTTTTTTAATCAGCTCGGGCACAACAAAATGTTTAGCCTGGCTGTTGGGTGCTAAGATAAAATATCACATGGCACTTTTATCTCCCCAGCTTCTGCTCCGTTCCCAAACCTTTCCCCAGGCAGCAGCAGGTTAAACCACCTGGTGAAAATCAGAATTCACAGTGTAGGCACTGAGGAACAGTGAAGCTACAAGAACAGAGCCCTGCAGTAGCAGGACAACACTGACCCAGCCACGAACTCAGTGTTGGAGAGAAGCGCTATGCCTGCAGCAGGCTCTGGCACACAGCCTTCTAAACCAGCTGGGAACCTTTTTTGGTTTTTTTTCTTAGTGAATGTTAATGTTTGACTTTATCATCTGATGCTGATCGATGGATGACACAATCCCAGTTCTTCCGAGAATAAAACTGGAGGAGCATTGTAAAAGAAAAAATGTAGTGGTTAACAACCTTTTTCAACTTCTCTTTCTCCTTTTTTTTTTTTAAGAAACACTTTTTTGCATGGTTTCTTTGCATCTCCATGCATAAGCAGAAAAGTGACCCAAAACATGCAGGGGAAAAGAAGTTTTGATTTCCAAACTTTATTATTCATATCAGAGCATACTCTATAGACTTCTTACAAACAAAGATTTGTCTGTATGAATCCAACGCAGTAATAGCTGCCCTTTTAGAATTAACATCTCAACAATGAAATGTCAAATAAAGGGAAATACTTGTTGTATGAAACAAGATTAATGTTCACCTCAAATATGTAACTGGCATTTAAGGAGGCATTTCTGGTAGATAAGAAGTCCCTGTGGTAGCTGTAGGGGGAAGGATGGAGAGAAATGCCTTTGCTATTTCACTTAGTTTGGTCTCTAAAATAGAGAAAATGATTAATTTTGTATTAGTATGAGTTCAGCTTCCATTAATGCCACTTCCATGCATCCCTAAGAAACGAAGGATCTGATTACAGAACTTGTTTTTATTGTCTAATAAGTGTGGTACAAAATGACTGTTGCAAGAAATTATTTCCCCAGGTAAGAAAATGAGCACTCAACGATGTATTGGTAATGATGAAGTAAGAAATTTGAGAATTCCTTCTTCACCTAAAATGCATGGTTTATTTCATAGTTCCACTGATGGAATTTTTAATTTTCTTCAATGATCAGCCACGACTCTCTGCCCTCTGGTAGGTATATACAGAAGTGTTATGTGCCAGCCTCAGCAGGACAACCACAAACCAAATGAGCGTTTTTACAGAAGACAGTTTGCTTTTATAGTGATCACGCACTGATGTGAACATAGACTAAAAATAACAAATGTTGTTTTAATAAGGATTTTTTACAATAGGCATAGATATAAAAGTTTTTTCAAATTATTTTCACAGGTATCACTGAACATTTCGTAGCTGTCTGTTACAGAAGCACCGCAAAGTGCTTTGAGTCTTTCATTTATTATACACAGTTAAAATATATTACACTTCTGAAGGTATCTTAAATCACTGAACAGTTTTGCTAGCATCTTAATGAGCCAAATGGGAGTAAAAGGCAGTCCACATTCATGATGTGAATATACAGTAAGGTGTTTGACATCCTATGAACTCATGGCTCATGTTCTTAAAATAACCATGGTGATGAGACCTGAAAGACAAAAATTAAGAACTAAACACTTTTATTTAACTTGAAATAAAACATTTAAAATTAAGAGTTTACCCTGTCACAGGCCAGAAAATATGGTAGAAGTAGATAAACACATGCAGAATGCATTTATATACACACTTAGATATTACAAGTATCACTCCACATTTTGACAAACTCAAAAATCAACGCTGATGTGTGGTGCATCTAATAACTAAATGTCAAAGAGATAGAAATACTCCAAACAATTACTGATCTCTCTATTGGAAAATCTTAACGTGGAACTTTTGACTTGGGTAAGTGCAACACTAGTACCCAAACCTCATTCCTCATGGGGGCCAGTTATGGGCAGTGCCATTCAAATGCTGAATCATCAGTAAGGCAGATCAGTTGAAGGCTCCAAGGCTTTTTTCTGCTCTGTGAATAATAACTGATCAAAGACCAGTTTTAGACAAAGATGTTAAGCTCCCTTGTCAGTTTGCAGAGGGAGCTTTCAACAGATTCTTTGTTGTGACCTTTAAAGAGGGAGGGAAAACAGGAATGTTCTGATAGAGGTTAAAAACAAAACCAGATGAAAACAGGAAATAGGGGCTAATAAACCTACTCATGACACACTGAAAAGTTTCTTTTAATTATATGCTGATACAGGAAAAAGTGCAAATCTGCAGCTCTTAGCCATGGGTTATATGGCACAAGGTGAGGCAGATGAAGAACATAGGGGCTCCCTGAATTCCAGCCTTATGTAACATCAAAATAACAATCAGTTCTTGAACAATCTCACTTTCTGGCAGGCTCAGATGATGTCACTGTAACAGCCTTTCACTGCAGAAAGCTCAGCTAAAGCCTACAGATCTCACCATGGATAAAGATGTTTCTGAGACTATTTTATCTCCTTCCACTCCACACTGATGGAACTTGGCTACTTTATGAAGATGGTAAAGGCAGAAGCACAACAGAACAGAGCTGCAACACTGCCTTCCATTAGATCAGTAATTTATCCCTTAAAGAGAAGCTACAGCTCAGCTATTTATTAAGGTCAGTATTGGTTCAGACAATCAGTGCTCCCACAGCTGCTGGATCCTTAGCTTGGATCAATTCCACCATGGCAGAGGAACAGCAGAGGCTTCTGGAGAACATCCCTACAGCACCACTTGTGTAGGGACTTGCAGACAATAAAGGGTTTAACTAATTTCTGTAAATCAAATACTTCTTAAATATCATATAGTCCTGTTGGTGTGGTATAACCACCCTTTCCAATTAAATGCTCCACAGTCCAGTTGTACTTCCTTGTGGAACAAAGTGGTTTAAACTTCTCAAGAGCAATTGACTTTCTACATGAGCAAGAGTCACACACAAAAGAATCTGTCCATGAACACTAAAAGCACTGCCAGCAAAGAAGTCAAAACCTCTCAAAACTTCATAGGGAATCTAGAAACAGGTTCAGTTCTTGCAAATGTATAAAGTCAAAAGGCTTAAAACTGTAACTGACACCAGCAGAACCTGGAGTAATTTTCAAAAGCAGAGATAAAAATGAAGTGAGGATTACTGCAAGGTCCTGATCTGAGAATCCATCAGCATCAGCTTGGGCAAAGAGCCACAAGTGAGATTTCAAACCACTTCAGCAGATGGACCTGTGTGAGTCAGCAGAGTGTGCATGAACCATCACAAACTTGCACCTTTCCCCATCACTACCTCACCTCTAGCTATCTCTTTGGAGCTGCCTAGCTCTTTTCCTTTAAATCCTCATTTCTGCCAGGTAGTGGGTGAGGAAAACTTAGTGTGACTGTTCTTCAAATCTGAAATAGTTATAGAGAAATAGTCATAACAAATGAAATGTGCAACTCATCTATGCTAGCTAATGCAGGAGCAAGTTACAAATCAGGAAGAACTGTGGATGGTAGTGGTCTCAGACAGGGGTACAACAACTTAGTGCTACACATATCAACTGCTTATTAAACAGCTACTGAGAATCAAGCGTTAAAAAACAGCTCACAGGGGGCTGGAAAGAGAAACACAGTAACACATTCTACATTCTGCAACAGAGTAACTATTGCAATGCAAAGGTAAGAAACAGCACATTCCCTTCAGGTGTGTTGGCAGATGACTGTGGCTGGCCCATCATCAAATAAAGCTGAAATTAGCATGCAGGGGCCTGTGTGCAATAGATGTCAACTCAAATCAGGTCTAAAACACTTACAATAAGTAATTTATCCTGCTATCACCATAGCTACAAATTAAGGTGTAAGCTGAGTTGCAAAACAAAACCTAACATGGTGCTTTGTTTCCATCCAGTTTCCCGAGGCCACTGGCAAAGACAGGTGAAGTTTTCCAAACTCGTAGATTTTGCAGGAAAATGTTTATAAAATCCAAAGTACTTACCTAAAACATAAGCAGCTACTAACTTTTGATTCACACTTAAGTGGAGGTAGAGAGGCACCAGGGATTCCATTTCCCCCAATGTAGGTAGCATTAGTGCTGCGACACACACCACTCCAAGGAAGACTGTGAGTAAACTAGGTCCCGACGAGGCAGTTCTGTTTTCTGAAAAAGCAAGACAGCACCAATTGTAAGGAAGATCTAAATAATATAAGCATTAAATATTCTGCAAAAATGTCTGCAGTACATGGGAGCTGAAATATCCTCAATTTTCCTTTTTGCTCTGGAGTTTGCAGGGGGTGGAAGACAACTCTCAAACCCACTCTTCTAAACCTTCTGCATTCTGCAGTGGAGGAGGCTGCTCCCTGTTCTGATGCTGGAACTTGTTTTCACATGACTTCCCAAACCACTCCCTTCTGGAGGAACAGAGCCTGCCAGGCCCAGTTGCTATATATACACACTCAGGACAGCTGGATGCCTCAGCAATCCTTGAGGTTTCCCTCTACATCCTGACTCCATTCCTTGATATGTTCCTTCAGTGATCAGTAATCAATCAGTTGGAGCCCCCAAAACAGACCTGCACAGGCAGGAACTGCTCACACCTCCTGAACAAAACCTGCCTGCAGCAGGAGCACAAGTTCTTGGGCTAGATGAGCTCCCCTTCACTCTTTACAGGATTCAAGGGCTACACCTGAACCAGTCAGCTTAGATGCCACAAATCAGTAAAATTTGAATCTTACTTTAAAAACTGTGAGAGTGAACCACTCTGACAGTCCTGTATTATCAGAATAAGGAAATGCAAACCACAGACAGTAAAGAGTCCTTCATAGTCTTTATTGTCCTGCACTTTAACAGCTGGAACCTACTCAAAGACCCACTGTGTCATCTTTGAAAAGAGCTGTTAATATGTTAGCTGAATACCTCTAACCAAATCCTTAAGACCCATTGGAAAAGAGCCAATGTTTTTATCAACTTTTTCTATCCTCAGCGACTAGCAGTATGTGCTCTGTTTTAATTCCATAAATCCCTTATTTCCAGGTTGTAGGTTACATGCAAAACTACAGTTTCTTTGTTTGCTACTTTTTTTTTTTTTTTTACTGCAATTAACTGTAGTCAGTGAGGTTTTTAAGCAGAGAAACAGCATTTGGAATAAGACCAGTATCAGATTGTTCAGGATGGCTCAGGCCCTCTGTCCTGGATCAACTATCACAGAAACATTTTGTTCTGTGAGCCCAGAGACCTTTGTAGGTTTGCTTTAACTGTGTATCCTACTAATATCTACTATGAGGGGTTTTTTTAAAATAAGAAGTGTTTCACCAGCCAACAAACTAAATATAAATAGTGAAACATTCATTTTAACAACATGAATACCCTCAAGGAGGTTCATCTATTTTCTGGAATTGTTTTTTGTTGTCCTGAAAAACATAATAGTGACAAGAATTTCTCAGTATAAATCAATAAAAGTAAGAAGAATGTAGACCATCAAGAATCAGTTTAGATTCATTTCAGGTACAACTTGATGCTTTATATCCTATCCCTTCAATTTAACTGTCTGGCCCAGGTTTTCAAGACTGTTGAATCTCTTCCTCACTGTGTGTATGAAACACACAGAGTTTTCAGCCACCAACTGTGCTCTTCTGTTCTTGTGGGACAGACAAAGGACAGGGCACAGAACAAGGAACACTTTAGAAGATGTTCTGGCAATATTTCCTGCTCATCAGGAAATGGGGGATTAAGGGTTTGGAACAAACTCAGAGGGGCATATGTTTTGAAAGAGCCCAAGGGAAAAAGTAACTAGCATCCTTTCACAGATAAATTCCCTTTGTCTGTATGAGAACTCCTGCTCCAGTGGAACAGTGGATGCACTCTCCAAGGTATGACATAAAAACACAGGGCAGAAAAGGGTCTTGATTGATCAAGACAGCATAAACAGAATAGCCACAGTTTGGGTTCTTGTGTACTGTCATCCTCATGTGATAAAGACAGCAGTCTTACAGGTAAGTAAAATGGCTTATTTTAATATGCATTTTTGTTTATATTTTAAAAATGTTTTTGAGTCTAGTACCTTGAGCTATTCAAAACTGATTCAGAACATAGGAGAGGAAAAAGATTTCAGCTACCTGGTTGACACAAAGTCTGCTCAAAAAAGACACTTTCAGCCAGGTGTTCTTTTATTCGTTTTTCCTCCTCTTCCTTTTGTTGTTGTTGTTCCTTTGCAGATGGAAGCAGAGTAGCAATAATCTCCTTTTTCCCTAATGCTTTCCTCTGGCTCTGCTCAGACACTTGGAGACGGAATTTATCTATGACACCATAGTAAGAAGCCCGAACGTCTCTGTGACGAATCACACTGTAGAAAAACAACATTTTCAAACAGATGATCTGTTGTGGAATTACATCCTATATCACAAAGTCTGCCCTCTGTCCCCCCTCCTCCAGATACACTGGAATAATCCAGACCTCCATCACCTCCTCCACCACTCAATGTCCTCGAAGATCTTACCTCCTCTCTCCCCTCCTTATATTTGCTTTAATTCCCAAATATAAATGCTCCTGGCCAGACAGGACAGTTAAGTCTTTATCCCAAGCCCATCTTTGCCTCAGTCTGAGGCCCAGCTGCCAACTGATGAAACACCAATTATCTGAAAGATGCCTCCTCCTCATATATCAGTTGTTTGATGCTTTCCAGTGATTTTAAAAGGTATTGAGGGGACTGGAGTGGCCAGGGAAGAAAAGGAGTTGGACAGGTGTCTGGCAATCAACAGTCCAGCTTCTTGAGGAAACAGGCTCAAAGCTTTACAATTCTGCTTTCTCAGAAGCAAAACTCATTCCCTGTATAGACAAGAGTCAGCTAGGGATTTTCAAAATCAGAAACCCACCACTGAGAGCATGTTTGGAACCTATAAAAAGCACAGCTTTAAAATAGCACTGATCAACAGCAAAACAGACCTCTGAGCAGTGCTGTGCTCAACTGCCTCCTCTCTGCACTTGTGATTCATCATGAGAATACATATCTACTGTTGAAAAGCTACAACATTTAGGTTTTTAAATGGTATCAGCTCCTAGGGTAAATAAGGATTTAAACTATTTTTCCAGATGTTTTTTTGTGAAAGATTATTCTAAGTTTCCAAGATAACAGCAGCTGATCTGAAGAAAACACGTACAAAGAAAAAGGTTGCCATCTCATGAGGGGGAAAAAAATGATTGTACCCTTAGTAACACAGAATAGTAGTTTCACAATTGCTTCAAGGAACCAATCTTTGTGATACTATACACATTAAAATGCTGCAAGAAATAGATCTTTGTTTTTCAGTTCTTATTTAAAGGAACTATATCACATCAAGATCTCTACAAGCATTAGCACGTAGCCAGTGCTTGCAAGTGGTATCTGGTTTGAATAGACTATTCAACACAGAAACAGAGACCAAGTCATCCCCTCAGCAAGAGGCTGCAGTGATGTTTTACATCACTTCAGAGGCAAAGGAGAGTGCCTATGACAGGCTTTCAGCAAGTGGAGTGTTGGCTGGGCAACTGCCTCCACTAAAACAAAAGGCTTTTTCCCCCCCACAACCCTAATTCATACAGCTCTTAGCATATCAACACAGCAGATCAACCCTGATTTCTTCCTTTAACACTTTCTTTTAATTGGTGTTCCTACTCCTAGTGCCATGGTACCAACTACCAACCTAAACAGAATCTTTACATAACACTGTGCTAGGGGAACATGTATCTGCTGCCAAGCAAGGAGATATTTTCTGCAGACCCTTATAAACAGATATATTCTCCTGTTTCTTTTTAGAGATCATTGCATAATTGGAAGCTCTGTAGAATATCTGTTTATCTGGCAAATGGCCACACTTGCATAGTACTGCTCATATCCTAGCAGTAAACACTGTCCTTAGACAGCAACCACTGAAATTGGAGGGGGGAATTTTGCTGCACAAAAATTCCCCTTGGAACATGTGTCTGTCTTATTTTCCTTTATTTAATAAAACACATTTGTTTAACCAAATGTAATCAAACTTGTGTAAATGTCTTCTGAAGAATGAAAGAGCTCACTGGTGCACTGGTCTATTTTGACCTTTTTAGTTCCATTTTCAGTATTGTTGTCCCTGCTTACTGAAACCTTCTTGCTCCATGTTTTAAACTTCCTTTCTATTTGGTGAGTCCTTGGAATTTTTCAAATTGCACCTAAGGAAAACAATCTATAGGAATAAAGAGCCATTTCCCAGGAACAGTTATTACTTATCTGACAAAGGGGTTTTGTATATGGCCATTTGTTAGCCAGAGATTCCAGGTAGTGTTTTATAGTTTGGAAAAAGTCTATTCATAAAGTTCAGTCTGCTCTTTTAGGTACTTCAGATTTTCTTCAGCTGTATCCATACATCAGCACAGAAATAATGTGGCAAATAGAAGATAAAAAGAGTTGGTCTATTTTAGCTTATACACCTACTGTGTTTCAGCTTTCAGCAGCCTACAGACCCTGTACATTACTGTGGTCACTTAAGCAGCCTCCTTCTGTTCTGAGTTACTGGGTTGACACCTGACAGGAGAGATGAAGGGCAGACACAGAGATCTGAGAATGAGATGGGTGGTCAGGGTGAAAGGTAGGCAAAACTACCTTTATTAACATGGCCCAGGAAAATGTGCTCAGTAGAACTGCATACATTTCCATTTTGCCAACCTGCAAACAGATCTCAGCCCTGGGGGTTTCGCTTTTCTTGTTATGTCTAACAAAAAGGTGCTCAGAGAAGCTCATATTACTCTCGCTCCTGGTTTACAAGCTACATTACAAGATGCATTTACTGGCATTTTATTTATGCCCAAAGGCAAAATTAAAGCAGGACATATCTCCAGTATTGTAATACCTCTGCTCTAGAGGGAAAGAACAGCAAAAATCAGAACCACAAGTATATAAGAGATTAGAAAACATATCTTCATCCAACTTATGTATTATAACATGCATGCTGTCATTTACAACCTCTTAAGTAATAAAAGAAATTAAGGTAATAAAATTTTGTATATTAGGATAAAACCCAACCAACTGCTACTTACATATCAACACAGCACTGAGGCTTCACTGCACCAGTAGCATCCACCACCGCATATTTATTTGGAGTTGTACAAAGAACTGCAAGGAAAAGGACAGGAGTGGTAACAAATCATGAACTGATACATCACCAGCTTCATCAACAGATACATGCAGAGAGACGAGCTTGGTTTTGTCATAGATACGATTTGTTACATGAATTATAATCGGACTGTTCAAGATCATCAACTAGCCCTTAAATAGAACTTAACCTAAGAAACCCACCTTTGAATTTTAAGGCAAACTCATAGGGGTTATATAGAGTCAACACCTGCTTGTGTGTTGACTGGTCATCTGCATAAAATATAAGTTCTGTAGGAAAAACAAAAACAGGAAGATTTCCTTCCACTAACTCTGGCTGTCTTTTTTGTTGCTGCATTGGCACTGAATCCTCCTTGCTGCTTCTTGTGTTCTTATGCTTTTGTATCCTCAGAGACTTCAGCTTTTGAATCGTTTAAGAATTCCAAAGCATTTTGGCAATTCTAAAGGAAAAAAATGGGAAAAAAAAAGAGAAAAGGCAAGAAGATTATTTCCATAAGTCTATACTAAACTGAGTCAATTAACAAAGGTGCAAAAATATAAAACATGATGCTTGATTATGAATCTACCCCTACTTATGTTCCTTCAAAAATACTGAAATAGAAAAAATATTTGCACTGTGCTTCCATCTATTTAATAAACTGCTACCAAATAAATGGATAAGCACCTCTCCAGTGTATCAGGGCAGCATTTGGGGGCCCAGTCCACAATTAGGGCTGCTTATGCTGGGTCTTTGCAACACAAACCAAACAATGACAGCAGAAAGAAATCCCATCCTTGCCTCAGGACAGCAACACATCAGAAACATGAGGGCAGAAAGGAGGAAATGCAAGGACAGTGAGGCAGCAGGAGTCACTGTTTGGGCAGGAACCTTTCCATGGGGATGACCTCCCTGGATGAGGTATAACAAGTTAGGAATCTTCTCACCTAGGCACCCAGGAATGTCAAATCCGGATTCAGAACAAAGGAATGGGGAACACCTTCATGTCTTGTTTAAACCAAACTCCCTGTTCCAACTGCATATGTTACAGGTAATGAATGGGAAAATGCCTGGGATGAGTAACAGCAAACAGACTTGGGATTCACTATTTTATTAAGAGATGACAGGTTTTCTAACACCACTACCTCTAACCAAAGTACAATCATCACAATTCTCCCTCTGCCACCCCCACAGTTCTGTTTTATTTTGAGTGACATTCCAGAACTAAAACCAGAACCAATGACCCAACCAAGAAACAATCCCAAATGTAATTCATAAAATAAAATTAAGTCCAGACTCTTCAGCTCACATACCATTGACTTAACACATGACAGACAGAACAAAGTCTTTCTCCTCCACCAAAGAAGGTCATATTTTACTGCAGCTTCTATAGATTAATTATGAAACTGAAGGTGTCCTTTGAGGTCTAACTGTATAGCAAAAATATTGAAACAACAAAAAGTTCCTACTGACTCAGTAGATGCCATTTCCACTTCCCATAAAGGTTTTTAAAATAAGGTACATTTTACCTGTTCTCAAGCTCAATACACTGGATAGTTGCACTTTAAAGAATTTAGCTTCTGAAATTTCTAGCAGCAAATAGCCCAAACATTCTGAACAATCAAAACCAAATACTTGTTTCTGCATTCTAAACACACGATGATCACATCTCCAAGCACCAGATACATATTCCATACTTGAAACATGACACACATTCATGTGTTTACAAAAGTATATCTGTCATGCCATCAGATTTACAGGTTCTGATTCTTATCCACAAAATAAGCCTTTAATTTTATTTATTTAGTTATTAAAATAGCAAATTATCCCTGTAGAATTCAAATTCATGGATCTCACTGGAATGTCTTTCCCCATGATCGAGTTCCTTTCAGAGCACAGGTTTGTTTCCACTTCACTGAAATGCTACTAATAATATTCTGAAAACAAATCCCCAATGACAGTGTTCCAAGCTGATGTTCTGTTACCTTATTAAGAAGAGTCTAGAAAAAGAAATGGCTCCCTAAGTGGCAATTTGGGCTCTGACTGCTTCTTGGAATTATGGTGAATCCCTTTTGTTTCAGAAGAATCAACAAACTCTGGAATGACTTTGTACAGCAAGTGGAAGTATTATGTCTTGAACAACTTAATGCACTATTGCAAAGTGAGTTTCATTGTACTAGTCAAACACTAAGACTATATGAAAAGCTACTGTGGAAAACCTGCCAGCACACAGGAATACAAAATACCTTTTGATGCTTGTCATAGGCAGAAGATTAAGAATTATTTATTTAAATTTCTTTTACCAAGTTAGCTCAATGCAGTAAGCAGTAAGAATATGGTGGAATCTTTGGTTCTCATATCTATCTACACTCTGCATATCATGTGTAACAGAAATACAGGCAAATTTTGACATTAACAAAAGGGGTTTTTTTCCAAATAAATGTTTTGAGCTACCATTAAATCAACAGCAAGCTACTGCTACACAACTTAATTGACTATGTGTAATAAAAATTTCAAGCATTATTTATAATAATCAGTATTATTTTGATGCTTTAGTTTTTTATTTAAACACTGCACATGTTTCATTCCAATTCCTGGTTCCATCCCACATCTTCAGTTTCTTCAGCCCAGTCTGTGGCAAGTGCTCAGTGTCCCAAACCCCACAGTTCTCAGTATCAGTGGAGGTATGGATCACTACACCTATCAACATTTTTGTTACACATCTGTGGACAACGGCGTGCAAAGCTCCCAGGATTCCACAACCTGCATAAGGAAAGCCACCAAATCTTAAAAAAGAATATCCCATTATTGCTTCCTTTTCCTATTGAACTTGGCTAGATGAGGAGCTACCGCCCCAACCTGCAAAAGCAACGTCTGGCAGGCCTATAGCAGACACATTTGCTGACACAGCAGTGTCATTCAGGGTATAAATTTCTATATTCCTAAGCAAGCAACCAGCATCCCTTCCAAGACAACAGTTTTAGCTTAGAAGTCACCTTGCTGGGACATGTCACCGAGTGACAGCAGTAAAAGCACTTTTCCCAAAGACTGATGGATAAACCACACATATGAGGGAGATGTGATGGTTTAGTATTGATACTCTTGATAACAGCACACCTTTCCCATCAACAAGAAACTACCAACACTTTTACAGAGGAAGTTTGTATTACCACAACTTCTTAGCCCATTTTAACCCCACAGCAGCTCAGAAGAAGGTCACATACCCCAGACAGTTCATGAATAGAAACTCAGCTGCTGCTCTTCTGCACCACAACCACTAAATTTTGTGGTCAACAGCCACATGATTACTTGCAGCACAAAGGTGAGCACGAGCAAATCTGCCCCAACTCAGGATCTGTGGTCTCAGGCCTGTGATCTGCACTGCACAGATGGGCTTGTCCCAGGATGGAATTCCCACAGGAGCAGGGATCTGTCACAGGTAACACTCCCCAGGGCCAGCCTGCAACACCTGAACAATGCCAGCTCACTTCCCAGCACCCTCTGAAGTCATGACAAACAATTGTCACTGGTGTTTTTTCAGCACAACAGGGATCTTTCCTCCGTGAAGTTACTAAATATATACTGCTGGTGTCACAATAGCACAGATCTGCCAGTGTTTCCTTTGAAATCCCTTTCTTCATAAATTTAACTTGACAAAGAAAAACATGAAGCAAAACGTAACTTCTCTCCAGGGTCAGAAATAACATCCATTGTGATTTGTTTTTACTTAACAAGTATCTGTTGAATAAATAAATCAACTGAGGAACTTTTTTGTTCCTATTTTAAGTTCCAACAGCCTCATCACCAAGGCTTCCTAGTGCATTTGCTGTTGTTTTTCTTCATAACTGCAAATAACTCTACAGAATGTCATCCGGTAAACACTTCATTCAGAAGAAAACCTCTTTAGAGTCATGCTTTCACGGTGCTGCTTTAAAAGTTGCCTAATTACAGTGTAATCTACTTTTGTTACATCTCATGATCTACCTCCTAAATCCCAAGTCTGTCTACACTTTATACTCAGTAAAACTGATGTTTTTCAAGCACATATTTACCAAATAAACCACAAAGTCTTCATCAAAATTCCCTCCTCTGCCAAGCTGAGCAATCACTTTAAGCTACATCCACATTCAGCATGGAATCTGAAGCACACCATAAACGCTTTTTTTTTCTCCAAAATGTTTTGAAGGCCTCAATGTGCACTTACGCAAACCAATGTTTAAACTACCTGCAATTATTTGGGGACGTCACCCAGTGATGAGAGCACAGAGCCAGCAGCCAGGATGGCTGGATTCCATTATTGCCAACTCTGTCACTGACACTCCATGACCTTGAGCAAGTTGGTTAACCTCACCTCAATTTGCTGATCTATGAAGGCACGCACATTCTACAAAGTATTTCAGTAGGTGGAAGGTCCCCTTTGAACCTGCAGAAGTGTTCTGATACTTTGCAAAACTGCTACTGTTTACCCCTTCACAGGATGATGAGAAATGTCACCAGTAACTGTCTCCAGGATGCTGCAAAATGAAATTGTCCCGGAGCATTAACTACTAGCACGGATGACCACACGCATAAATCATGCTGACACCGACAGCAAAATTTATTACGACCACATGATTGTTTTAAATGCTGAAAAGGTGACTAACAAAAGGAAATATTCAAACACAACTAAGAGGCGTGAAAAGCAGTGAAAAATTAAGTAACAGCTGAGCATTGCTTCTGATCCATTCTGCTACAGGCTGGCAAGGATCGTAGAGAAGACATTCAAGGGCACATGTGCTTTAGTGTCTATTTCCCCACTTTAAGTTTGTGTTTAATGCACTAAACTGGCTGATTTTTAAACGTGTGTTGTGCTCATTAGCGCTGCGTGGCCTCAACCCGCCTCGGATTAACAGAGGGGAGCCCTCTTCCCCGGGAGAGCGACGGGAGCCAGGGCGTTCCGAGCCGTGCCTGCTGCCGGCAGGGCACGGCGCTAATTGCACGCTCTTAATTGATCCTCTTTGTTCTCCAGCGAGGAGCAGCAGCGATACGGGCTGAGGCAGCTGCGCGATAGCGGCGCCTCCCGCAGCCGGCCCGGCCCGGCCCCGGCCCCGCACCGCCGCCCCTCACAGCGAGCCCCGGCCCCGCGGGGAAGCGGCGCCAGGCCGGGGCCTCGCAGCGCGGCCGCCGCCCCACCGCCTGTCCCGGCCGCGCTCCCGCAGGGCCCGCGGAGGGCAGGGGCGGGGGGCCCGGGGGGTCCAGCCCGGCCCGCCGCCGCTGCCGCTCCGCTCCGCTCGCCCACCACCGCCCCCCGCCCCGACTCACCCGCCCGGGGCCGCTGGTGCGGGCTGGCGCGGCGCCCCTTTGTCCGCCCGTCACTGCGGGCAGCGCTGGGGCTGCTGGGACCGACCGGCCGCCGCCGCGTCAGCGCCCCGCCCGCCGCCCGCCCCCGCCGCCATGTCGGGGCTGCCCCGGCGCGCCGGGCTCGGCACCGGCACCGCCGCGTTCGGCACCACCGGCCCCCCGGGCAGCGGGGATTGTGCGGCCGGCTCGGCGCCTCTCACCTGCGGGGAGCTGGTTTTAATAATACTCCACCTCATCCCACGATTCCCGAGGTCTGGCCCCGTCCCGAGCAGGTTCCCCGCTGGAAGGGTCGGCGAGCGTCACCCCCGGCTGGACCGGAGCAGGAGTGTCGGAGCCGAACATCCCGGCGGGACCGCCCGCTCACCCAGCAGCGCGGCTTAAATGGGACACTGTCCCTGTAAACACTTCCATGCTGTTACCTTTGTTCTTTATTCCTCTTATTTACTTAATGTGCTGTCATTCAGTTAGGCCGTTTGTGGACTTCAGCTCGTACTATGCGTTATCCACTACATCATCTTCCCTTGTTTTCCCCAACTCCCCCTCTGTATAATACAAACAAATCCATGTGTAATCATCACCCAGTATCATCCCAAACTTCAAGATCTTTAGTACAGCAAAATGTTTTTGTTGCAAGTCAGGTGGATAATTAAGGTTTATATTGAGCCACCCAGTACAGGATTGCAAAATCTTTTACCCATTACCAAGCTTTACCCCGCAGTGAAATGAACACACATCCGTGGTGAAATAAACACAGCAGCCATGAGTGTTTCACAATAACATCGTGAAACAATCCAGAACAGGAAGTAATATATTTTAAATAATGGAAGACATTAAATAAAGAAATTCTAAGAAATATATTTTCCAACTTAGGCAAGGTGTGTGTATTAGCACCCAGCTTTTTCTGCAGATCTAATGGTTCATTAAGAAGTTCAGTCTTACAGCCACAAATTACATAATATTATTAAATTATTACATAGAGAAATTAAAATCTTGTCAGAATTTCTGAAAATGTATGCAATGAAAACTGGCAAAATATTTTGTTTCTTGATGAGTGTAAATCACTTCAGATTTTTACATGTTTAAAAATAATCTGGAATTATTGTTTTTAAAAAGATTACCAGACTTCAGCCTTGGAGGATTTAAGGAAATTATTATGATTTTATTATTAATCCAATGGAGGGTGTTCCTCATTTTGGAAACCTGAGAAGAAGCAGCAGACATAATCATGCTTCAGAGATATTCAAATTAATAACAAACAGAATCATCAAATTAAAACATAATCTCAAATGGCTAGACTTAAAAGCACATTAATTGGATAAATTGGTATTTTCCAGTTCATCCAGTTCATTTACAAAGAAAGTTCAGACTTTCTAAAGGCAGATGTTACATCTGCCTCTGTAAGTTGCCCAGGATCCAACTTTTTCTGCCACATTTGATAAGGTTTGCATCCACCTGTTGAAAATCAGGAATCTTCGCTGGTCTCTTTCTTCTCCCACCCATCGATCCCTACAGCTAGTCCAGGTTGTTTTGTGATTTTCAGAAGCCCTGTGTTGACTCCAGTTAAATGAGAAAGTTTGTAGAGTGTGAGCAGGACCCGGTGGTGCTCTGTCCTTGCTGCTGGTGCTTCGGAGAGCGCAAAGCCGCATCCCTGGCGATTGTCCCTTGGGAGGGACTCTGCCATCCCTGCCGTCCCCAAAGGTACGGCTGTGCCATGGCTGCTGAACCAGCAGAGACTCCTGCCCGGTGTGGCAGAAACAGGAGTATCTCAGATCTGTGCCAAGTTCTCTCCTTTATCGTTAGGTCATTGGTTTTCTTGCCTTCTCCTTTTTAGGCTGGTTTTTTTCTGCCCAAATAATCAATTATTTCTGCTATTAGAGGGACACTGAGGTTACATTCCTTGTTATGATGCTGGAAGAGCAGGGAAATGATGAGAGGAGAAAATATGGACAAAGAAGACAACAGAAATAAAAATGCAAAGGAGCAGAGACATCAGATACAGCAAAGAATCTGCAAAAAGTTTGTCAGGTCACCTTAACTGTGAACCAAGGTGTAAAAAAATGCTGTTCCTGCAGCTTATAATTGGTCCTCTGATTTCTTACCTACCCTAGAAACTGCTGTGAGTTACCTAAAAGCATTGGCTAGTCTTCTGTTACATAAAATACTGCCTCCTTATAGCATGAAACCTGGCAGTGGAGTGTGCAGAGATGGAGTGCTCCTGAATGACTCTGTGGTGGTTTTGGTTGCTGTGGTGATTATCCATCTGTTTAAATACTTCATATGGGAGATTCACAACTTGTTTATCATGGAAAAGACTTACTTAAGTTGTGAGAAACACAGCATTATGCCTGATTCCTGTAATTTTTGCACACTCGGTTAGCAAAATATTCCACTTCATGTGTCATGGCATAAGGACATGGTGTAGCATTTATAACAGAGGGTCCCATGTTTGGGTTCTGTATTCACCACTAGCCCAGTGGGTCTGGAAAATTGGCACTGCGCAGTTACAGAGGCTGACTGCAAACACTTCACAAGGGGCCTCCTTTAATGAATCCTCAGTCTGAAGAAGTCACATGGATGAAATTGTATGTTTACAAGATCTGATGTGAAAACAACAAGCGAGCAGATAGGAGAGAGCTAAACACTTTATATATCTGAATCTTACCTATAGGTTGCAATGCATTTAATTCTTACTAATCAATATTCTTAATGTGATGTTTTGGTTTTTTTTGACAGTTCCCTTCTCCATGGCACAATGTGGCAGATCCTCTTTGGCTTTGAATTAACTCAGGAAAAGGAGTGACATATCTGCCTTTCCATTTGCAGTTGGGTTGTCTTTCTGTAGAAAATGGTTGGAGTTTTCTTTCTAATTACTACCAGTTTATTAAAAAGTCTCCATAACAAATTTTTTTTTCACTTTTAAAGACTACCAGAAGAAACAATACTGCATTTAAACGACCACCTTAAAGCAGCATACATGTTCTGACTTACAATAGAAACAAGAATTGTTTAACCTAAATTGTTCAAACTGTTTCTTGTAACTTTAATTCACCAGCAAAAGTGTTTCGGTTTTTGTTTTTTTTTGACTTGCTTATGTGGCAGGTTTTCAAATTTCCCCCCTCCAGTGGCAGCAAGCTGTATTCTCATCCCCTGTCGCTGGGGACTTAGATGGATTCATGAGTATTTTTTGTTTCAGAGGTTAGCCTGTTTGTTTTCATGACTAATGATGTGGACCTTGGGAGCCACATATCACAGCACCATTGAGGAAATATCTAGACTTCTGTTAAAGTGTAATCCATTCCCGGGCATGCCTATACAGGGAGTTGAAGACAGCTCAAAGCTCTGTCTGCCCATGCTCCCCACTGGCTGGAGCCAAGCCAGTTCCATCTTAGGAATCTTTAAACTCATTTCTCTGCCTGTGCTGCTGCATCCCTGAGATGTGCCTATGGACATGGTGAGCACAGTATGCCAGAGAGCCACATTTGCTGCAGAACAGATACAATTATTTGAGGGAAATACGTCCTAAAGAGTTGCTGTCTTTAAAATACTCAGTGTAAACAAGGGCAGATTTCATGTATGCTCAGTGTAAGATCTAAGGGATCAAGTACCTTTCAGATCTCATACTGAGTGAATTTTGCCCAAAATGTGCTTGCATCATGCTTCAGACAGGCATCAGGGTTCACTTCCTTGTACTTGGTCTTACAGTTTTTCATGTGGGAGCTCCTGAGGTGCTGTGCTCCTAAGCTGTATGAAAGAAGCCATAATTGAGTCTTAGACACCATGATATTTATAATAATTTTGAAACCTCAGAGAGAACAAACATTCAGAGGTTTATAGACAGTCATCATCTTTATGAAGTGTAGGATCTATTTCTGCATTGTCTGCAGGATCCTGCTGAGAATCTCCATGTCCTGCTCATCGGAAAGCTGCAAACCCAGCATGGGCTCTACTTTTTTTCAAGGATGTGTGCATAGATCTCTTATAAATAAGCAGTTATGGTTGTTTCATTAGACCTCTAATAACATCTCTATTTTATTTTCCTTTCAAAGATGTTTATTCAGTGTTGACACATATTTATAATATCATCTCAACAGTAAGAGTCTATCCTGTCAGATTTACAGCTATTATAAAATATGATGCTATCTGCATACAAATGGATAGTGGGAACCCTACAGACATTTCTCCTATTATTACTGCCTAAGGAAGCAATAAAATTTAACATTTACCATCGGAAAACACCTGCAGAGATTAAATTAAAACTAGATTATATGCTTATCAGTTATATGTTACAAAAGCAAACTCTTTAGAGATTAACATAAAAATCATTGTTATCAAAATCTTATTAAAAGCTTCAGTTAATACGCTCCGTTTTGCACCTCCACTGCTCAAGCATTCTCTGTGTGTGACTTACCGAGCCTTTGTGCAGCTGTAGGGAGGGGAGGCAGGGCAGCCTCACCACCAGCTTTGCTATCGCCTCAGCAAATGCCTGCCCTGATATTTGGATTTCTTGCTAAAAGCTGTCTGCAGGTACCATTTGTCCTTCCCTCTCTGAGCCTGGCTGCTCTCTGAAGGGCTCTCACACTGCACACTCTGTTCCTTGAGCATGGCGCCAAGGCAGGCTCCAGGCTTCCTCGTGGAGTTCTGCTGGGAATTACCGTGGAGAGCACTTGTCCTTCCTGCTGAACTCGTTCTTTAGTGTGGTCAGCAGGACCAAGACAAGGGATTTTCTAAGGCTAGAAGTCGAGGACAAGGAGCTGCTGTTGCTGCTGAGCAGATGGTCTTCTGTTTCGTTTGTGCAGCTTTTGACACGTTCCAAACATGCTGCAGAAAAGAGAGAGCAGGAAGCAACTGGGCTGGAGTTGATCTCTGACCTGGAAATTCAAAATGCTTCTGGATTTGGGCTTTGCTGCCACCAACAACTGAGAAGCTTAGAGCGCAGATAATCTACCTGCTCTGGCTCAAAGAGGACATGCAGATCCTACCTGTGCCTGATTTGCATGCACACTGGTTAGGGTTTATTTCTCCATCTGGTATTACAGTGACCCCTTTGCCTCCAGGCATTAGAAGCAAC